TAGAGGATATTATAAATAAGTAAATGAAATGCCAGCATGTGGTTATGTATTAAATCTTGGTACGTTTTATGATGAAGGACGTTTAAATAATGATAGTCAAACAAAAGTGGAGGTATGATGATGGTAATATAATAAATATCTGAGTTAAAATATTAGAATTAATATGAATTATATTTGATGACGGTGGAAGAGATACACAAAAGCCTTTTGTAACCAACTGATACACTTTCTACAGCAGTATTTCTCAACCTTGGCCACTTGAAGATGTCTGGACTTCAACTCCCAGAATTCTGGGAGTTGAAGTCCAAACATCTTCAAGTAGCCAAGGTTGAGAAACACTGTTCTACAGTATGTAAAGGAGGATTTGTATGTTGGTTTTGAAAATAATTTTTTTTTTAAAACCTACCAATTCTGTTACTATTTCTGATCTTGAATGTAACAATTTTGACTCTAATTATGGCATTTTTGTATTTCCTATGTCTAAGGTTTCCTGGTATATTTGCATGTTTAACTTTTTTCTATTTAGCAAATTTTATTTTATTCTGTAATTCTTCTGTTTGTAATAAATTTAGTTGTAGAACTTTCAACAACCCTGCAGTACCTAGATGGAGAAGCAGAAGACTATTTGCTTGCTGTTTCCAGCAGAGAAGATGAGGGTTCTATGTAATTTCTTCTCCAGCTTCAGTTTCAAGCTGTATTTTAGTGGTGTCAAACGGGCGGCCCGTGGGCTAGATATGGCCTGTGTAGGCCACGACCCTGGCTCTGCAAAGGCAAAGAAAGTCCCCATAGGCCACAGTCATCATGATCCGGCTCGCAATGCAATCGAGTTTGATGCCCCTGCCAGTGTATTTCAATTGAATCACATCATATCCACACAGTTTCAAATTCTAATTTCATTTCAACTAATGAAATGTCATGAAGCAAATAGAGATAGAAACAATGACTTTACAAAACTTTTATTACAATTTTTACATCTTTGGGTCCTTCAGAGTTATTTCAAAATATTTTAAAGAACATTATTGACAAATCAGACATGGATGCTTTACACATTCAAACTGAAAAAAAATGCAAATGCTTCTTAATAGAACAATCCTTTACAGGCATATAAAAATAGTAAAGAAACACACCTTGAGACGAGGTACATTTTGGAGCGAAAATGAAAAGTATTTAATTGGCTGGGATTTGGATCTTAAAAGTAGTTCTTTTGAGCCAAGTCCATTAAAAATGCAACATTATTGAACATCATTGCCTTCAAATGGTTTTGGAAAATAACATTTTTCAGATATGTATAATTGGTTAAAGAGGACTTATTATATATACTTGTTTCAAATACTGTGGCTGGATGGAGTAATTTATATGACACAATTTCATATAAAAAGCATACATAATCAAGGTTTTCTCTAATTATCCAACTTTTAGTTGAGGATGGCTATTTTGTGTTACTTCCACAGATATTTCTTCAGTTCCTTGGGAAGTTCTATATAACCCCTTCATATTATTAAAATACTTGAAAAACCTGACAGTGATCTGACTAAAGAAATTAAATAGCAGTAGACTTATAGCAGTAGACTTATATACCGCTTCATAGGCCTTTCAGGCCTCTCTAAG